CTCAGCCTTCCGAGTAGCCGGAATTACAGGCATGCGCTACGATGCCCGGCTGATTTTTTTTATTTATTGTAGAGATGAGATTTCGCTGCCCAGGCGGGTCTCGAACCCGCGGGCTCAGGCAATCTCCTCACCTCAGCCTCCCAAAGGTGCGGGATTATAGGCTGAGCCACCGAGCTCAGTTGGGTGTAGAATTCTAGGTGGCCTTGCAGGAGGGAAATAACTGTTGGTGGGAATACCAGGAACAATACCGGGAACCTTGATTGTATGGTATGTGGAAAACATTTCACCGGACGATCATCACTGGGTTTTCTGACGTGCCTCTCCTGATCCTAGCTGTTCTGTATATTTTCCCTTAGTGCCGTCTTCCTTATTTGGCCTAGTCCAGGGGTCAGTGATTTCACTGTCCATCCCTCAGGAATGGGCTCACTCTTTCCTGTCCTAGCAGAGTAGATCTGTGAGCCCCCACTTCTAGTTCTCCTGTTATTGATGGACCAGTTCACTGTTTTTTCCCTCCCTTCCTATTTCTCTACCTAATTATAGGGTCATCTTTGAAAGTTCTCAGATGTGCTCAGTAGTTATTCTAATTTCATTCTCTCATTCCCATCTTATACAGTTTCAGGTCTTGTAGCACAGAAAGCAGTGTGCATTTGATTTTTTTATTTTTATTTTTTTCAGACTAGGAGAAAAAACTTGAAACCAGAGGGTCAACGCCAAAGCTCAACATTACTGAAGATTTATCCCATGGGGTAATGATGGAAGGGGAAGGTCTCTGGCATTCTGCTTTAGGGGAAACCTGGGAACCTGATAATTGGTTAGAGGAACAACAGAAAACCCAGGACAGACATCTGGGTCAAGTGGCAGTTACCCACAAGGAAACCCTCACTAAGAGGAAGGTATGTGGAGGTAACACATTTGGAAGATGTTCCAGTGAGGGTTCGATCCTTGACACACAACAGAGCATTCCTATGGTGAAAAGGCCCCATAATGGTAATTCACATGGAAAAGACGCTCAAAGAATGTTTGTGGGACAGAAAATCTATGAATGTAATGAATGCAGCAAAACCTTCTGCCAGAGCTCATCCCTTCTGAAGCACCAGAGGATTCACACTGGGGAGAAACCCTACAAGTGTAATGTGTGTGGGAAGCACTTCATCGAACGCTCCTCCCTCACTGTTCATCAAAGGATTCACACTGGAGAGAAACCCTACGAGTGTAATGAATGCGGGAAGGCCTTCAGTCAGAGTATGAATCTCACTGTTCATCAAAGAACTCATACTGGAGAGAAACCCTATCAGTGTAAAGAGTGTGGAAAAGCTTTCCGTAAGAATTCATCTCTTGTTCAACACGAAAGGATTCACACCGGAGAGAAACCCTACAAATGTAATGAATGTGGGAAAGCTTTTACCCAAAGCATGAATTTGACAGTGCACCAGAGAACTCATACAGGAGAAAAACCCTACGAATGTACCGAATGTGGAAAAGCCTTCAGTCAAAGCATGCATCTTATTGTTCACCAGAGAAGTCACACTGGAGAAAAACCCTATGAGTGTAGTCAGTGTGGCAAAGCCTTTAGCAAGAGCTCAACTCTTACTCTACATCAGCGAAATCACACTGGAGAAAAACCCTACAAATGTAACAAATGTGGAAAATCCTTCAGCCAAAGTACATATCTTATAGAACACCAGAGGCTTCATTCTGGAGTAAAACCTTTCGAATGTAATCAGTGTGGAAAAGCTTTCAGTAAGAATTCATCTCTTACTCAACATCGGAGAATTCACACGGGAGAAAAACCCTATGAATGTCTGGTATGTGGCAAACATTTCACTGGAAGATCATCCCTTACCGTACATCAGGTAATTCACACTGGAGAGAAACCTTATGAATGCAATGAATGTGGAAAGGCCTTTAGCCAGAGTGCATACCTTATTGAGCATCAAAGAATTCATACTGGTGAGAAACCCTATGAATGTGATCAGTGTGGAAAAGCCTTCATTAAGAATTCATCCCTTACAGTGCATCAGAGAACTCATACAGGAGAGAAACCCTATCAGTGTAATGAATGTGGGAAAGCTTTCAGTCGGAGCACAAACCTTACACGACATCAAAGAACGCATACGTGAGGACGGTTTTCATTGGCCCTAAGTCACGATTAACTCTTCAGTAATAGATAAGTCATACAATGTAGAAACCTAATAAATGTTAACAGTTATGGGAATCTTTTAGTTGAAGTACAATATACCATACCAGATAAAACAGACCACTTCAGAGAAACCATGTAAGAGTAATCTTGACTCAGATGTAAAACTTTCTATCAGAAGGGATAAGTAGGCTGGGCTCGGTGGCTCAGCCTGTAATCCCGCGCCTTAGGGAGGCTGAGGTGAGTGGATTGCCTGAGTCCGCGGGTTCGAGACCCCCCTGAGCAGCAAGACCTCATCTCTATAATAAATCAAAAAATCAGCCGGGCATGGTAGCACGTGCCTGTAATTCCGGCTACTTGGAAGGCGGAGGTGGAAGGATCGCCAGAGCCCAGTAGGTTGAGGCTGCAGTGGCCCGGAGCGGCCACTGCACTCCAGTCTGGGCGACAGAGTGAGACTCCAACTCAAAAAAAAAAAAAAAAAAAAAAGAAAGGATAAGTAGCTAATGTTGTAAACAGTGAAGACCCCTGCTGAAGACAAGTTCTATTACAGCACACTGCAGATTCTTCTTTGGACATCAGAGACTTGACACTGGAAAGAAAACATGAGAGTGCTTAACTGGACAGCCAAAAGACCAGGTATGGAGTCCTGGTCTGCCACTATCTTGGACAAGTCACCTGCTTTCACCAGGTCAGAGCTCCCTTATCTGAGAAATGAATGATTTGGGATTTAGGTTTGTAGGATCCCTGTTAGCTCTGAAATGCTACAAACCTATACAAATGAATGCTGGAAGATCCTTGACTTTACTGTGTGATATATGTTGTCAGATGCTCCTGTTCCACAATCTAGTTTCCTTGGATGTTTTGAATCAAAATTCTCTACTTGTACCAACTCCCATTACCCTTCCATGCCCCTTCCCCTCTCCCTGCACTGTTAATTTTCTCCTCTCAAATACAGGCCAATTTCTATAAGATAATGGAATAATCGTACAGATCTTAATGCAATAGCATGCTGTTTTGAGTTCTCAATGAACAGTCATTAAACTGCTGTTAAATAAGCTAATGATTTAAAAACAATCTAAATATGGTCTTTTAAGAACAAAGGCATCAAATACGTATCTTTGTGTCATTGTCTGCCTATCACAGTGGATAGGAGAAGAGAGGAGCTGAACACTAGCAGACATGGCAATATGACACACTGGCAAAACTTTGTAACTCAAAACATATTCACAACTATCACAGGGAGATTTTTATAGATGTGTGATTATTATAGTAGCTAAGACAGCTTCATCTGTTTCACACATTTACCAAGTCCTACATGCTGGACATGATGAGAAAACCAAAATGAGTAAGGCATATTCTTTGTTTTCTAAGGATTAAACTAAGCAAGTGGCCATGTGGTGAGAGAAGAAAGGAGGAGCCCAAGCAATTATGAGGCACAATGTAGAACACTTGGTAAATGACTAAATGTAGCCACTTGAATGAGAAGGAAGAGTCTAGGATGACTTAACTTTCTTATTTGGGTGCCTAGGGATGCCATCATTAAAAACACATACAGTTGACCAATTTTAATGGGCAATGATGAGTTCAGTTTGGGGGCATTTCAATGAGTCTGTGGGATTCAAGAAGCTGAGAGGAACAAAGATCCAAAAGAAAAAGATAAATCAGAAGGCAGTGCCAGAGAAGTAAAAGGAGAACTTTAGCACACTTCTGTCGAGGGCTGAAGAGTGAGTTAAATGTTTAAAAGGAATTAGAAACTTTACTGAGGCGAGAGAGATTCAGAAAGGTAACCAGAGGGAGGTAGGGGTTGAGAGAGGCATATCTATTCAAAGAGCCGTGGGTTTCTGTCATTGTCATGTGATGGCAGCCCTAGCTCCAAGTACAGTCTTAGCATACAAGGCAGGAGGAAATGGGGCAGGTAGCACCAGCAGCATCAGTTCCTTTTATCAGGAAGTTTTTCCTAGAATCCCCTCAGGAGATTCCTGCTTAGTCTCATTGACCACAGCTGTGTTGCATGGCCAACCCTAGCGCAAAAGAGGCTGAGAAAAATATCTAGCCCTTCCAACCTCTATGGTAGAGGAAGGCAGAGAAAAAGGTGCTTGAGAATGGTCTTGATTTAGTCAACAATCTGCTAGGGAATGTTTGTGCGACTTAAGGTCAGATTGAGCATGTCCATAACTGAAGAGACATGGGAGTGTGAAGGAGCAGGAAGGGGGTGTGTGCAGCTCAAAGTGGGAAAATAGGCTTTGGAGCACAAATGGAGGCTGTAGCACTCTCTTCCGACACAAGGAAGGAAACTTTCTACTAGGAGAAGTGAGAATCCAGAAATGATGGGTACAGATGTCTATGTGTGGCAGTGGAGGAAGCGCCTATGAATCTTATCGTTTGAACCTTGGCAGTCCAGTCTATCCGGGCTACATGACTTTTTGAGGTTAATATTTTATCAATTTTGAGGCACTGCATTCACCCTAGGCTTCCTTTCTCCCTTTCCCCCTTGTCCTTTGCCTTCCTATTGAGCCTTTATTTTGCTGCTTTCTCATTTTCATCTATTTTCTACCCGCCTCTTCTGTCTGCCTCCTTTCTTCCCCTGCATCTCTCTCTTGAGATCAGGTAGGGGACAAGGAAAAAAACACGTGAAGGGTGAGAGATTATTAACAATCTGTTTCTGAGGATATAGTTAGCTTAATGTTTCGTTCCCCCTTCTTTTCGTGTTCTAACTCTAACCATTTAGATTTGAGTATAGTCAAGGAGGCTGAGTCCTGTGTGTGTGTGTGTTGGGGGGCGTGTGTACAAGAGTGGAGAAGCTCAGGGTCAGTGATTTGCCCATCCTCCTCAAGCCTCCAGACATGGGATGAGGGGAAGGGGGCTATTTGGTAAACACCTGTGAAGAGTATTCAGAGTATAAAGGGGAGCCCCCCCCCTTTTTGAGTTGGAGTCTCACTGTCGCCCAGACTGGAGTGCAGTGGCACGCACCCGGCCACTGCAGCCTCAGCCTGCTGGGCTCCGGCGATCCTTCCGCCTTAGCCTTCCAAGTAGCCAGAACTACAGGCGTGTGCTACCACGCCCAGCTAGTATTTTTGATTTAGTAGAGGCGGGTCTCAAACCCGTGGGCTCAGGCAATCCACTCACCTCAGCCTCCCAAAGTGCTGGGATTACAGGTTGAGCCACCGAGCCCGACCTGAGAGGGGCCCCTTTTAACACATCCTCTTATTAAGCTCAAGCCCTTCACTTTACTTTGGTGTCTATTCTCGGGTAGAACTAAGGTTTCTGTAATGCTTAAGAAGGGTTTTGTTTTGAGCTTGAAGAGTAATATAGTCAGACCTCATGGTCACTGTGAACCACGAGCAGCCAAGGATGTATGTGTGCTCTCTTCCTGTCTCCATCTCCTACCTGGCCGTCACTGCCACCACCGTATGGGCTCCTGTTGCTGTCCTTTCCATCCCCTCTCTGGTGCTTGATTCCTTTGCTTAGAGCTAAATTTGCACATGATCCAAAATGTCAGCATCAGCTCTGTATCTCATGACCTTTCAGCTTCCTAACCCCAAGTCTCTGTCCTAATTCTAAAACTTCAGGAAGGAAACCTGATTGGTCCAGACCATTCTTTTAAGACAGCTCACAAATCACTTTTGCTGGCTAAGTGTCCATTCAGCCAGCTGGTGCCGGGGAAGGCTGCCATGTCACTGTCTACACAGTTGGGCCCATGTGCAACAAACTATGGCAGGTATGACCGATGTCATGGGACATTTACTCATAACTAAGTACTCAGTAGTTGCTGGGGTTTTAGAGCTTGGAAGGAGTTCATGAAAGGAAGTCAGAAACTAACCAGGAATTATGATGCAGCAGACTGACTTTGAAGATAGCAAGAAATAAACCCCCTAGAACTACAGAGAACTACCATTCTCTGTATCAGGCTACTTTCCATGTGGGTAGGTCATCACTCAAAAGTCTCGAACAGGGCCATTTCCTAAGCCTGCTCTGTGAAATGGGCATCTGAGCATTCGAAGAGGTTACCTGTCAGGGTCCTCTAACAGAGGTAGTGCTGCAAAATACAGTGCCAGCACCCCTCCTAGACTGTGCTGGCTCCCAACCCTGAGGTATCCATGGAGTCTGCTTCTGGCTCCTGAAAAATACCACAACAGGTCAGGAGGGGAGGGGGTCTGAAAGGTTGGTGAGTGCCTAGGGTATAACCAAGGTAGTTTGCTTTGCTGTCTATGCTCACATTGACATAACTCAGTTCCTAGCTGCAGTCAGCAGACTTGAGTGCTTTAGCCGGGCTCGGTGGCTCAGCCTGTAATCCCGTGCCTTTGGGAGGCTGAGGTGAGTGGATTGCCTGAGCCCGCGGGTTCGAGACCCGCCTGGGCAACTTGGCGAGACCTCATCTCTACAATAAATTAAGATGAGCCAGGCGTGGTAGCGCACGCCTGTAGTTCTGGCTACTTGGAAGGCTGAGGCGGAAGGATCGCCGGAGCCCAGCAGGTCAAGGCTGCGGTGGGCGGGAGCGGCCACTGCACTCCAGTCTGGGTGACAGAGTGAGACTCCAACTCCAAAAAAAAAAAAAAAAAGAGGGCTTTGCCTGTGCTGTGTTGGAGTGACAAGGACATCGTTCCTGCTCACAGTGTGGTTCATTCCTGCAATTAACGGTTACTGAGGTCACACATAAGTGAATTCCAGGGTACATGTCCCCAATGGATTCCTGCTGGTGTCACAGAAGTGACCCAGCTGAGTGCAGAGAGACAGGAGGAAATGGGAAGGTGGAGGGGAGGAGTAATGGGAGGGCTAAAAGAGCGCAAGTATGTTAGGTAATTCTAAGTGGCACATGGTTTGAGCAGGGAGCTGAAGTCAAGAAGTGGCAGGAAATTAAGCTAAAGGAGACCTTATTACGTCACTCCGCAAGGGTCCTAGCAGGGCTCAGCAAATGAACACCAGGAACCACTCACAAGTAGCCACTATCCTGACGATAACAGTAAGCAGACTGGTGATGCAGGTCCTGGCCAGATCAGTCATGAGAGCGGATGGGGAAACGGGCTCTCCAGAACACACTCTCATCTCCTTGTTCCAAGGAGACTGGATCCTCGTGAGAATCCTTGAGAAAGGGGTGCTGCCGTGCTGAATGCTCAGAACAATCAATTTAGTTCGTGTGTGAGCCCCGGCTAAGGCCAGAGAGTGTGCTGGGCTTCCCAGCAGAGGTTTCGCGGCTTCTCTCCAGCTCCAGCAGTTATTTGTCTTGATTGCCTGTGAAAGAGACCCATGAGAGTCATCAGGACGAGTGGGTGGGATGAATGGGCTGCCTTTGTCAGGAAAAACGTGGACGACTCGGACCCCTGCACGTGAGCTCTCAGCCATCCTGGGCAATGGGAATGGACACCTCTGCTCCTTCCCTCCATCTGATAGAGGACTCCTGGCCGCACTAAGGAGACGTTGGCCTCAGGCAAGGTGTCTAACATATTGGTGCCTCCGTTTTCTCAGGTGTTAATAGTGCAAACCTCAAAGCTCTGGGCTGCATTAGATGCTGTCAAGTGCTTGTAACTCACCCAACGTGTAGTTACATTGCCATCCTCCTACACCTGAAGGCAGAATAATACCCATCTCATGATTACAGCATCCACAACCCTAATGGTCTTAGAGTCACTAAGTTCCCAAAGCAAATGCCTTGTAGGAAGGTTACAGAACTGTGGGGGAGCCATCCTCGCCCAGCCGGCTGCAAGCGCCTCCTAACGGCTTTCCCTGTGCTCCCTCCAGCCCCACCAGTCTGCTCTCCACGAACCTCATCTATGAGTCTACCAAAATGTGCCGGGCCAAGGCCCTGGCTCAGACCCCTCCAGGAGTTCCCCACCACTCGGAATAAACTCACACTTTGTACGATGGCCTTTAAGGCCTCTCGTGACCCCTGCACCCTCATCTCGCACTCTTGGTAACTGCACCCTCGCTAAGCTTGCACTCGCCAAGCTTGCCTCTCTGGACCGCATCTCTGTGCCTCCCCGGAAGGCTCTACCCCAGATACTCGCTGTTGCCTTCCTCGCTGCATTCAAACCTCTGCGCTGACGTGACCTCCTCCAAGAGAACTTCCCGACATGCTGCTTCAGTCACACTCCAGCCCCGCCACACCCGACCCCAACACAGCTTTACGGTGCTGCCACTACCTGAAATGTCCTAGGTGATCGCCTGCCTTCCTGGCGGAACCAAACCTCCACGAGGGCAGCGTCTTCACAGCGAATCCTCCAGCCCCTAGAAAGCGCCCGACGCTCGGGGTCTACAGGACCGGGTCTTCGGTAGGCCCGGACAACGGAGCGTCACGGAAGTGAGGCGGAGCTCCCTTAGGAGACGAGCCCCGGCCACGCTCGGCTCGCTTCACCCCACAAAGCTCAACCCTCTCGTCTCCTCGTGGGCGCCACCGCCATCCCGCGTTCAAGGCAGCTCGGGGCGTTCCCGGGGCACGGTCAACGAACGCCAGCGCCGCTTTCCCGATGAGCATCGCCGTCGCCCGGGCCGAGGTGCCCCGGCCCGCGCCC